ATATCAAAACCAAAACATTAAAAAAAAAAAAAGAATTTTCAAAACCAAATGAGATGGAGGGAAACTAGCATGAAAGAAGCAACCCTGAGAGGATCCAGGAAAAAAAAAAAAAAAACCACAGGCAGGGCTCCACAGGCAGCCCCCCACCCCACCCCCCATCCAGGAAGACCAGGTGAGAAGGGTTGAACTGGCGCCCTTCCTGTGCGCCTGTGGGCTTCTCTTACTGGCTGGGAAAATAGAGGCCATTTGCTTCCCCTCCTCCCTCCCACAGGGTGGGATAAACTAGGAACTGTGGGGATGAGACAACTCCCTGATTTTCCCAGCTCCCATTCATCCCCTCCACCCGTCAGCTCCTTGCCGCTTCCTGATAATTAATAACAGAAAATTTAAGGGATTTGATATTTTTGATGGATGAAAGCCTAAGTGGGAGAGAAGAGACAAAAAGGGAATTGGGGGTTTCTTAGGGAAGAAAGGAGAGGAAAAAAAAAGTAAGCCAGTGGGGTCCTTCTAGGTTTGAGTCCCCAGACTTCACCAGGTTCTGAGGGTAACGTTAGTTATCACCTAAATAACTACTCGAATCTACATGGCTTAACCTGCAGTTACTACAGGTCCTGAAGGCCTGATGCATTTTTTAAAGTGCCGTGTTTTCTTATCGCTTACTCAGCATTTCCATAGTTTCCCACCAGAAGGAGAACTTAATCCAGCCCACATGAGGTTCATTCATGCTCAGTGTCTACTATTCTACAGGGAAGAATATATCAGGTTCTGAGGATCCATCAGTAGTAAATACAATATCACTTTTTTTTTTCCCGTGTCAAAGCCCTAACTTAAATTTTTAGAGTTTTTACGGTTTTTAAGTCTGGCCATGAAGATGTGTTCAATGTGGGCATCAGATGGAATAGAAAGACCTATTTTGTGTGTGTGTGTGTGTGCACAAGTCTGGCTTGATTTTCATTTTTAGTATGTCACCTTAGATTTGGTAACATCGAAACTAAAAAAGAGAAAGTGAACACAAACAAGTTAGCTGCTGTCTCAGATTTATTTGATGAATTTGTCAGAAGGTCAAAGTCATGTTATTCTGGATTTCACCTAAAGCCCTTGGGATGCAGTCAGGAAGAAAATCTACATTCCAGAATGGCTACTTTAAAAAGTGCCCATAAAGTATAAAAAAATTATAGGAGAAATCCTGGGAATGGAGACTGTTACAGAAGAGGCAAGACAACCTACTGACAAAAGCAAAAGAAAAAATGTGTCATATGCCCCAGCAGCAGGGACAGAAAAACTGCTATCCAAGGTGACGTGTCATCAGTGCTGTAAGAAACTCTGTCCTAAGTGTTGTGAAAAATAATTTTTTGTTACAAATACTTACAAATAAAATTTTTTTTTTTTTTTTGGTACCGGGGATTGAACTTGGGACCTCGCACTTTTGAGGCAGGCGGCGGAACCACTGAGCTAAATTCCCAGCCCCTGAAAATATTTTTTATAAAAAAAATTAAATTAAATTTATGGAGGACTCATGAATAGTACCTATGAAACTAAAATGAACCAATAGTAGCTACAGGTTAAGAAATGTTCCCAGCCACTCAAAAGGGAGCCATGGCATCAGGCAGACCAAGTTTATGTCCTTTGGTTCAGAAAGGGGGGGGGGATCTAAAATGTTTAGGACCCAAAAAAATATACATGATTTAAGGAGACTGCTTCCCTTGGGTGTCACCTCAGAGGCCAGTCTTCTCTGCAGTGCCTCAGGACTAGGTTTCCCATGCTGGCTGCTGGTGGAGAAACTGCTGGAGACACTGGATGGGCCCATTCTTATATGTGTCTCCTTGGTGAGCAAATTTTAGTTCCATCTGACCCAGGAACAGGGTATGTTGACCTGAGGGAGCAACTAATGAGGCTGCTACATATCACAGAGGATAACTCTTGACACCTCTTTCCATTTCTGGTTAGAGAGAGCAAGTACCTCTTGCCTTCGGTGCTTTTATGTGCAGGAACTCATTTTTTGTTGTTTTTTTGGTACTGGGGATTGAACTCGGGTCCTTGCGCTTTCGAGGCAGGCAGAGGAACCACTGAGCTAAATCCCCAGCCCCTAGCAGGAACTCATTTTCTAGGGACTTGGAAGACTCTTAACTGCTGGAAAGGAAAAACCTAAGGCTGTAGAGGTTTGGAGACAGGAGAGACAAAAAGAGGAAAAAAGAGATAAACTATGTTTCTTAGGGTAAGAGGTTGGAGTGAATGGGGCGGAGGGTGAAGAGTCTTTGGCTGGATTTAGCAAACCTGTAGTCTCAATGCCTCTTACCTCCTTCTGCTGGCTCAACAAAAGAAAATTTAACTGAACTGGGTCTAAGGGGTTCCTGAAACTAAGATGAGGAGCTTAACTCACTCCACACATAAAATGCTTGGATATTTGCTGACTCCTGGCTCAGCAAAAGAATTTTTTAGGATGCATCACCAGGGGCACTAGAGATTTTAGGATACTGTCAAGAGCGGAATATGGGTACTCAGAGAAATGAGATGCACTACAGTTTGGAACTGTAAATCTTTATGTGTTTTGGGTGATGGAAATCTGGGCTTTGATAATCTGGTCTTTGATAATCTATAGTCTTGGTTTTGATGGGTGGGTAGGGGACGACGCCTGCCCATAGTAAGATAATGGTCCATTTGTAGGGGAAAGCCAAAAGGTGATCTACTCTCAGGTGAAAGTGGACCATGTGCAAGTACAAATGGAATGGCCAAACCCTTCTGCAGGTGAAAGGGAATTGCTTGGGCTTTGTGTTTTTAAAATTATGATTTTCCTTCTGTCCTTTTTGCCTATTTTTTTCTATCCTACCATTACTGAGTTTTGGGGCTCTAGAGTCTCCTTCTAGAAGTGGTTTCTAAATTCTGTCCCGAACAAAGAATTGGTCAAAATGAGTGCAAACGGTAGCGAAGTTTTACATTTATTAAAGGTAGGGAAAAAAAGAGAGTGAATACAGGCCAAGAAAAAGTAGGAAAAGGGGTGAACTACCATGAAAGAACCCAGCAGCATAAAACTTCATGTCAATTGTCCTTTTTGTATCCTCCACTCCTCAGGGTGATGTCAGGTCTAGGCCAACCTGATCAAAAACTTGCTTGCAGAGCTTTGGGAACTGTTTTGCACATGTTCTCTGAATTTTGTAATTAACTGGTCACAGCTACTTCCCAAGCCAGCTTTGCCACACCCTAGTCTCCTGTCTCATTACCTCAAGCCCATTGGCCCAAATCAGAAGAAATATAAGATCTCAGGTGTTGCTTCAGTCCTACAGGACTGGATTCTGATTTTCAACAAATGATCTAGGTGATAGCACATGGAAGTCTGAAAAGCACTAGACTAGATATCTGGAATTTAACAGGGCCACAACAGTCCACACATCCTCTCCAAACTGGCTTTATCCCAGGCTTTGTCATCTAAATCAATGCCATCACACGTGTTCATGCTGTAAGCTTAGGAGTTTGGCTGGGGATTTAGCTCAGTGGTTCTGCTGCCTGCCTCAAAAGCGCAAGGTCCCAAGTTCAATCCCTGGTACCAAAAAAAAAAAAAAAGTCATATAAGCTTGGGAGTTATCTTTGATAACTAGTTATCTAGGCAAAAGTGCCTAGAGCTCATGAAAAGTCACATGGCCTTAGCAGCAGCAACCTTTTAACTGGTCTTTCTTTCCTATCATTGCATCTATATAATTCACTCTCCACTCAGTAGCCTGAGAAATCTTTTCATTTCTAATTAAAACTATGATTTATAGGAGCCAGGGATCTAGCTCAGTGGCACCGCGCCTGCCTCACAATTGAAAGGTCCTGAGTTCAATCCCTGGTACCAAAAAAACAGAACAAAATAGAAGTATGATTTACGTACAATAAAGTACACAAATCTTGAGTATAGTTTGATGGATTGTTACTAAAGATACTTGCATGTAACTACCACTTACATCAAAATACTAAGTAATCCTTTTTAAAAATTTTATTTCAAATCATGACATACCCTTGCTTAAAATTATTTTGTGCTTTCCCGACCCCCTTGGAAAATCTGAATTACAAAGCCTCAAGTGACCCAAACCCTATCTATCCCGCAAACTTTATTTTGTACTACTCTTTCAGCTCCCTCACCATACTCTAGACACTGGCCTTTAAATTCCACAACCTGCAAAGATTTTCCTGCTCTGGAACCTTTCCTCCAGATATGCATTTTCTGTCTTCTCCTAAAGCTCTTTTTGTAGACATTTCCAGGGCTAACAGCTGGTAATTTAAATCTGTCTAAATGTCACTTCCTCAGAGGCCTTCCCAATCTAAATAAAGATGCATCCAACCACATTTTATTGTATTCCCTTAATTACTTGCAGAGTGCTTATAATTTCTAATATTATTCATTGCTTACTGCCTATCTTTCCCTCACTAGAATACAGCCTCTTTTGGGAAAGTTTTGTTCTCTGTTTATTCACAAATGTTTGTAAACAGTGCTGAACAAAAATTTTCACTCAATGAACGATAATACATAAAATGGAGCATAGCTGGAGGAAGAATGGCTAGCACTCGGCTCTGAACCTAGGTAGTAGAGGATTAAATGGAGTAAAAGCCCATGCCAATTACGTGTTCACTGTTACCTTCTTTTTCCTTCTTAACGCCCCTTTAAGTCATTATGTACTGCAGACATGCACTAATAAAAATTTTAAAAAATTTCTGAACATGCCTTTAAAACTATCTTCATCGGTATGTTGACCTTGTTTCGCTTTTACTAAAAGGGATTTAAATTCAGAATCTTTCCTTTTAGAAAATCAATCGTGGGACACCCACCGCAGTCTCCAGACCACCTGGACTCCACAGAACCAGCAAACGCAGCCCCGCCTTCCCGCTGACGCCACCAGCCGAAAGTCGGCGCATCCAGTGACCCCGCCCCGGGCTCGGATCCTGCCTGGCGGATGCGCGCTGTGCTACGTAAAGAGTAGGGTTTTCGCGACAGCTCAGGCCCCACCCCTCTGGCCACATGTCGCGCAGGTCTTCCCGACGGACGCCGCGCCACATCCTCGCGCTGCTTTACGAACCTAGACAGCGGCTCCCCGCCTCCAGTCTCCGTCCTCACATCTCCGCCCCCTCTCACTTTTCAATCTCCTACCCCGACGCGCCCGCTATAATCACGTGATTGCCTCATCCGGGTCCTTTGCGTTCTCGCTCCCTCTCCCAACATGGCGGCCTCAGGTGAGTGAGCGGCCGAGCGCAGCCAAGGACCAAGCTCCGAAACCATCCTCCTCTCTTGATCCACTACTTCTTGGAGTTGGGGTGTAGGTGGCACTGGCCCTATTATGGTTTGGGGGCTGCGGCAGGTTGCCGGTGTGGCCGTGTCAGGTTACTGCCGCGGGATGTTTGGGGGGAGGGGTAGGTGTCCTTCCCCTCCCCCTCACACCCTTTTCACCCTGTTTGCGCGAGATTGGAGTAGGCAGTAATGGTGGACTTTGGCTTGAATTGGAGAAGGAAACGCAGATCTGAGGGAAGCTCAAGGCCTTCTCAGAGACGTGAAGCACTGTGCTTACGTGAAGGCGTGGAGGGAGGAAGGAGGCGGTTGGCGCGCGGACTGGTACACTAGGGTTGCAAGGCGCGAGGCCGTTGCAGACGGGGCGGGGGGCTGGGGAACGGGGGGGGCAGTTAGAACGCGAGCGCGAGTCTGAGAAGGGGCGGAGGAAAGCGGCGTTGCGCGTGCGCGGTAGGACAGAAGATAGTGGAGACTGCGCGCCTTAAAAGCGTGTGGTAGAGTCCAGATGGAAAGCTTTTACGCGCTTGTTGTGTGGCGCTGATTTATATCCTACTGTATGCTCTTCATTGTAGAGTGTGGCCCAGCCCCTATACTCCAAAGGGACATGTGCTAGGTTGGTGAGTGAGTTAGGGGTAGGGAACGCAGTGTGGTGCGCCCACGTGTTTGAGCAGAGGAAGCAAGGGTGGACACAGATTTCCCTCTGTCTTTTCTTTCTCTGATTTAGAATATTTTTATTGGGCACAAACCATATGCCAGGTACACAGTTCTGAGTGTTGGAGATACACTTTGGTTTAATTTTGGCAATTTTAACGATAAGGTTCACCCCCCCCCCTTTTTTTTTTTACTTGTAGAACTTCTAGGGGTGCTGTTAAAATAATAGGGTTTTTTAAAGCCTTCTTTGCGAGGACTATCAACTGCCATGCAAGTTTTACTTGCCTATGTAATGGGCTTATAAGAACAGCAGTGGGCTGTGTAACATCTTGTGATGCTAGTTTTAGTTTTGAGGATATGCTTTCTTTTTCCTGGCATGACCCTGTATTTTGCAAAGCATTTTTTTAAACTGCTGTCCCTAGACACTCATTTCTTTTTTTTAATAAATTTTATTTTATCCCATTCCCCCCTCAAGGCCCCTCCTCTCCTTATGTACCGAAGCTTTGTTTTCATTTTTTCCTTCTTTTTTACTTTTTTCTTGTCCCTTCCTCCCTCCTCCCTTGTTCCCCTTCCCATTTGAACACTTTCTTCCCATTTCCCAACATCCATTATACATCTCAGTAGACACTCATTTCTTCACCAGGAATTCCTCTTCCCTGACCAGGGAGCTAAGTGCTAGGGTTGTCTTTGGAAAATGTTGACAGAGTTGAGGTTATATGTTTTGTTTTGGACAGGGTCTTGCTATGTAGTTCAGTCTGGTATTGAACTCATTATGTAGCCCAGGATGGCCTCAAATTCACTGTAGTCTTCCTGCCTCAACCTCCCAAGAGCTGGGACTACAGGCATGTGCCACCACACCCACCAAGTTGAGGTTATTTGAACACCATAACTTTCATTAGTATAGCACTCAAACACTTCTGTGTATATTGTCTTCTAATGTAAGGAAATGGCAGTATCTTCCAGCTGAGGAAAATGAAAGATTTGTTCAAGGTCACATGCTTGCAGGTGCCCGGAGCCAGATCAGAATCCTAAAGGATCTTGACTCAATCAACTTTGGAAGTATCACAGTGTCATCCTGAGTTTAAGATGCTGCTCAAAAGTATCTGAAGTTTACAGTGCTATTTATATTTTAATTCACATGTATTTGGCCTAGATTTCCCACCTAGGCAGTGCAGTATCACAGTATCAATTTGATGAAAAGGCTATATTTCCCCTTCTCTAACTTCTGTGGAAGTTTTAGGTGTGGAAGGCATAATAGTCTGTGCTGTTAGTTTTACCCTGTTGAGGGAAATCTAGAGTGGTTAAAGAGATATGTGCAGTGATGTTCCCTTCTCTTGTTCTCCCTATGTACCCCTTTGGAAACCTTTGTCTACTCTATTATGTATCTTGTGTTTTTGGTTTGTTGGTGTGGGGAATGGAACTCCTCAGGGCCTTGCAGATGCCAGGCAGGTGCTGTGCTGCTGAGCTACATCCCCAGCCCTACCTTGGTTGGGGTTTTTTTGTGGGGTGGTTTTTTTTTTTTTGTACTGGGAATTGAACTCGGGACCTTGTGCTTGCCAGGCAGGAGGCCGAATCACTGGGCTAAATCCCTGGCCCTATCTTGGTTTTTTTGAGACAGGATTCTCACTGTGTAGCCCAGGCTGGCAGCAGTCTTGCCTCAACCTCCCAAGTGCTGGGATAATAGGTATATACCACCACACCTGGCCCACCTTTGTCTACTTTAATTCAGTTCAGTACCTATTTTACCTTGTTAGTGTTTGAACACAAGGTTATATTTTAGTCTGCCCTTGAGGAATTTGGAATTTAGCAAATTTCTTTCCCCACTTTGAATCTTTTCCAGTTATACTGATTTTAAGTGATCAGTTTGCCCAGAAGTTGGAAGTGGATCTTATTTTCTTTGCAAAAATACATGATACAGAGCTGGGGAATTAGCTCAGTGGCACTGCGCCTGCCTCCCAAGCACAAGGTCCTGAGTTCAATCCCTGGTACCACAAAATAATAATAATACATGATACAAGTTTATAGATCTTTTTCACTCTTCAGTGAGACCAAAAAAGGCTTGCAGCAATGCCAGTTTACAGTGTGACCAATTACTGACTCTTAGTAACTGAAAGTGTCTCAGAAATGACTACATTGAATGAGAGTAGTTTAAAGTACTAGGAGACTTGATACTCTGAGCTTGGACATTTAATTTTTTAGTTGGCCTAATTAAAATACCCCTTAAAGTATAATAAGATTTTTGTAAGTTTACATTGTGACTATTTTACTAAGGCTGTTAAAGCCTGTTAACTCTTGAATCTATGTTTCCTTATCTGTAAAGTGGACATGGTTTATCTCCTGTCATACAAATAAATATATTTGATACAGGTTAACATTTAAAATGATTTAACATTGGGTCAAATGTGGGTGTTGCACACTTGTAAACCCAACACTTGGGAGGCCAAGGCAGGAGGACTGACTCAAGTTCAAGACCAACCTGAAATACATAGTGAGTCTCTGTCTCAAAAAAACAAAAAAAGATTTAACATTGAATATAGTGTATGTAAACTCATGCCTAAGTCTGTCATTTGCATAACACTTCAGAATGCCATGGTGTATGATTGGTGGTGGGGGGTGTATGTTTTTTATAAAGAGATGGTGTTCTTTGGTTTTCATAGTGCTAGCCTTTATAGTTAAGAAAGAGTTGCCACTGTACACAAATGTCCTGTTTTCCAATCCTATCCTCTACCATGTATTTGTTATTCTGAGAGTAGGTTACTTAGAAGGCCAAGACTAAAATTTAATGAAAATTCAAATGCTGTACGCAGATAGTACTGTCAGCTAAAGTAAAGGTGTTTCTAAGTAATGTCAGTGAAAAAGACATGGGTTTTTAAGTCAATACAAGTACTTGTTTGTAGATAGCTGTATGTTCGTACATCTAGGAGTATACACTCCAAAGCTAGTTAGATTTATGATATTGCTTAGGTCAGATAATAGGAAAATGCCCAAAGCAAGAAGTTTGACCTGAGTATATTTACAGCTCCTCTCATGAGTGTCCCTGACCAGGAAAAGGCAGTTTGGCATTTTCCTCATTGTGTCAAGATGAAGAAACTGGGCAGAGAGAAGAGAGGTCATATAACTAAACACGGGTGGAAGTGAAATTTATTAGTCCTGAACAGCTTTATTCAGATATAATTCATATACCACAGAATTTACCCTTTTAAAGTTTGGTGGGTACACCTTCCTTTTGGTGCTAGGGATTGAACCTTATGCATACTAGACATGTTTTACCACTGAGCTACATGCCCAGCCCTGGTGGTTTTTAATACATATTCAGCGAGGTGTGGTGGCACACACCTATAATCCCAGCACTTAGGAGACCAAGGCAGGAGGATCACTGCAAGTTTGAGACCAGCCTGCACTACATAGTGAGACCCTGTCTCAGAAAAAAAGCACTCAGCTTGGGGCCAGGGATTTAGCTCAGTGGTTCTGGCACCTGTCTTACAAGTGCAAGGTCCCAAGTTCAATCCCCTGTACCAAAAAAAAAAAAAAAATCCCAATAAAACAAACCAAAAAAAAAGCACTTAGCCATCATCATTATCTAATTTGAAAGCATTCTCATCACTTCAGAAGAAATACCTTAACCATTAGCAGTCACTTCTCCTATCCAACTACTATTCTTTTTTGGGGGGGGGGGGTACTGGGGATCGAACTTGGGACCTCATGCTTGGGAGGCAGGCAGCGGAACCACTGAGCTAAAGCCCTGTCCCTTCTATTTTTTCTTTAAATTTACCCATCTGGAACATTTGATATAAATGGTTTTTTATAACCCATGATCTTTTTTTTTTTTCCCCCAGTACCGGGGATCAAACTCAGAACCTTGCTCTTGCAAGTCAGATAGGCCTGCGCCGGGGATTTAGCTCAGTGGTTTCACCGCCTGCTGCTCAAGCTCAAGGACGTGAGTTCAATCCCCGGTACCAAAAGAAAAAAAAAATAAAGTCAGATGGGCCACCACTGAGCTACATCCCCAGTTCCTCTTTCCTTTCTAAACATTTTATTTTGCTTTTTATCTTTTTGGAGACAGAATCTTGCTATGTAGTTCAGGCTGGCCTTGAATTTAGGCAATGCTGCCCCAGCCTCCTGAGTGCTGGGATTTTAGGCGTGTACCACCCACCATGCCTGCCAAGCTAAACATTTTATTTTGAGGCAGGGTTTTACTTAAATTGCCCGGAATGAGTTTGAATTTGGGATTCTCCTGCCTCAGCCTCCCATGCATATGCCAAATCCTTTTTACTGCCAAATATTCCACTGTATGGAT